AATGGAGAAGGGATTGTGGCGTGGCCATCCCCCCTGGGGGGTGATTTCTGTCTCTCTGTCTCTCTCTGTCTTTCTGGCAAGTGCACGTGCCCTATAGCAAAAACCTCTCCTTAAAAAAAAAAAAAGGCTATTATTTTCTCTAGGGCTATTTGATACTTTTTTGCACATTTAAGTCCTATCAGACTTTTTTTTTCATTAAGAGATTTTTTTTTTCTGATAGGGTGTGTGCACTCACTGGAGAGACAGAGAAATAGAGAGACAGAAAGCAAGAAATCCCCCCCTCCGGGGGGGATGGTCATACTGCGGTCCCTTCCCCTCGATTCTCTTCTTGGGATTTTGGGAAGCACACACATGTGCCTCATGTGAGTTTTAAGCTGCCGGGCCTGGGACTCAAACCACGGTTGACTATGTGGGAGTCCAGAGATGTAACCATTATTCTATCTGCTGGTCCCCCTATTTTTTCAATTTCAGCTCCATTACTACTTCCTTCAGGAAGCTTTTCCTATCACTGGCCAACTTGTGTCCTGCTGTACTATTAAAATACATTTATACACACCCATCAGTCATTCACGATGTTCTTGCCTAAAGCTTCTATATACAAGCTTTCATCAAATGTAGTTGACTTGATCTAAATAGCCATCAGCTCTGTCCACTGCTCCAGCTTGATTGCTGACAATAACTGCTGGTGTTTATTCGACATGTACTACAAGCCAGGCACTATTTTACATATATTTCACTCTTACTAAGTCATTGAATCCTTTCAACTTCCCTAGGAGGTAGACTGTAGTAATTATTTTATACACTGGAAAGTTTAAAAATAGAAATATTGGTAAATTGATTAAATATACATAGGCAGTAAGTGCTAAAAGTACTCTTAGGAGTCCATGTCTTCATTGATAGACTGCCTACACCGCCTGTCTTGTCTATACCATATATCTCATTTCCTCTAAGCTACTACAACAAGCTCCTATCTGACTCCTTGCCTGCATTCAAGTCCCTTCAAATGCATTCTTTACCCTGAAGTTAGAATGACCTTTAAAAACTATAACCATGATCATGGCACAATCAGCTGTCTGTGCTCTTGCCCTACCTACCTGTCCTGCCTTACCTTGTGTTATTCTTCTCAACCTGCAGGATTTGAACCACCTTGACACTTTTATTTCTTCTGATCCCAGGACCTTTGCACAGGCCATTCCCTCTACCTACCAGGCTCTACTCTACTCCCAGTCTTGCCTGCCTTAACTATTTAACTTCTATTCATCCTTCAGATCACAACTTAAGTGTCCCCTCACACTGGGGAAAGCCTCCCCTCCACCACCAGACTAGCTCAAGTTCTGATGGGTCATAGCAGATTCTGGAAATTTATCACTAGATTATCAGCCTCACAAGGGCAGGGCAGAGTTTGTGCACTTCGTTCTTTAACTTATCTCTAGCAACAAGTCTGGTATTAAAAGTCCACTTTTATCATAGCTACAAATGTCAGCTCCCTTGCTAAAGTGCAAGTTATTTGAGGTCAGGAGCCATGTCTTAGGGAAGCAGACTGTAAAGAAAACCTGACCTTGGACCCATAGTAATTTGAAATCTAGCTACATCACCACCATTTTTGATGCCATGACTTTTCAAGTTCAGACTCCTTATTGGTAAGAGGAAATAACATTATGAAGATTAAAAGGAATACTGAAAATAGCATGTTGGTAAGCCCAGCAGCAACTACCCCTTAGCTCTTTCTTCCCAGGTGCATCTTTGTGCCTCAGTAGATTAATGGCATGGACATTGAGGCTGCGTAATTGAGGTCCAGTGATCACCCCCTTCACTTCACATAGTTTGTCCCAAGTCATGGCTTCCTTCTCCACCACTTGGCCTGCATGGGTGCCCCCATGTGGAAACATGCAACAATGCTGTGGTGAGCAAGAGGTTAAAGGCTTGAAAGGGTTGACGGAAAGAATGAAGAGACAGGTATTAAGAATCCACTCAATGCCAGTCATTTTCATGCATGTAATAGTTAGCAAAAGGAAATGTGATTCTGCATTTGAGGAAATTGAAGTTCAGAGGGTTTAGGTCTCTTTGAGAATCTCAGAGCAGTTAGACAATGAAGACTCCCACTTGGGACCAGCAGGTGGCGTGGTGGTTAAGGCACTGGACATTCCCACATGACCAACTGTGGTTCGAATACCGGACCTGGTGGCTTGCTTTCTCACTTTCTCTCTCTCTCTCTCTCTCTCTCTGTGTGTGTGTGTGTGTGCATATCTCTCTCTGGTCAAATTAAAATAAATGAATGAATAAATAAAATTAAACAATTATTTTTTAAAAACTTAGAATATAAAAGCAAAGGGTTTACATGTGCAAACAAAGCTGTATAAAAATATAAATTTAAAAAAAAAAGACTCCCACTTGAACACAGGTGTCTGATTCTCCATAGGACTTACTCCTGCCACCCCAGGGCACTACCTCCAAAATGATTCCCTATCTTGCTCTCGCTTCTGGAGAAGTGTGCATTATTAAAAGTTCCAAGGTATCTTTGTGACTCTTTAAAGTCAACCTGACCCTGTTATGTGTGGGAAGAGCCAGGTAACTCAGTAATATCTGAGCACACCGTGTTTCAAGATTAAATGTTTAAACAAATTACACGTTAGAGTCTTTATTTTTTTTAAAGCTGCATGCCACTTCAGTAGAAAAACTAACTCTTAATTTTGTTCAATAATACAATGTTGGCTAGATAATATTTTTAAATTAACCTGATTCGGAATAAGTTTTCATTTAGTGAATTAAAAGTAGTTAGTCTTTCTCATTTTCTAGGCCTAAATGAACCTGTATAAAACAAGGAATGAGATTTAGAATGAAGAAGAAGGACAGAAAAATTGTGTCCCCTCCCTCTGAGATGCCGCCCCAGACCTGGGCTTGAAACCGAGAAATGAGCTCTGATACCTCACAGAACCGGTTTTATCACAGAAGCTATTCATATATGCCACCGTTACTCAAGATGCAATCCACCCACTTCTACCTCTGAATTTCCAGGGCTGCTTGTGGGAAGGCCATTTCCTGAGACTCAGTCCAGGCCACTAGGTTTAGCTCCCCTGAGCAGGGTGTCCAGGAATCAGCACTTCAACAAGCACTCCTCATGGTTAAGATCTCAGTAAAAACAGAACGATCGTGGTGATTCGGCATATGCATTTACGGCAAGGGGATATTGTTTTCATTTACGAACTTCAAAATATTTTAAATAGATAAAATACTTATCCCAGCAACCCTCAAAGTGAGCCATTACCTGTTTTCAAGTGGTAGAAATCAAATGTGGACTACCTATTTGACATGCCTCGCTTTGAACACAGGCAGGAATCAACTCCTTGCACCAACCAGGAGAGCAACAGTTACAACAGAGTCCTCCACATGAAATCTAAGCCCCTTGATTAACAAACCTTTTTATCCAGTCCCTCAGTAATTTTATCTCGTGGGGGAATGGCGTGTTTTCTAAATTTACAACCTCAGAACGCTCCTTAGTTAGGAATAGACTGCCTGACTCAACTACTAATTGCATGTTCAGAATGCCCCTTTCTTTTTCTTCTGCACAACCCCCAGGAAAGGTGATTCTTTTGATAAGTTATTTCCTTTTCTTAGTCCTCTCCATTGGTGAAAAACAGTCCCCAAACTCACTCTCTTGCCTACAACCTTACCAATTGAAATTCTAGGTATGGGAAATTAATTTCATAAAACCCCAAACCTAAGAGTTGAACAGCACCTGTAATGAAACGAATCTCCCATCTTTCACCAGTTTCCCCACCTCTGTGTCCTGTCTTCCTGGTACTTGCCCCAGACCTCAGTGCTCCCTGACACTTGAAGGCCAACTCTCCACGCCAGGATTCCTCAGTCCCAAGTTTCATTGGAATCTCCCCATTGGGGAGAGCTCTGAGAGTTTTATCACCTTGGAAACACAACAGCAGGCTCTCTGAAGATGCATAGGGAGAATATGTTTTAAGCAACATAAGAAAACCGGGTTTAGTTACCCCCAAGTGTAAGAATCACGACTCCAAACTGTCACTGACTCAGGAGCATCTTTAACCAAGAATCCTATCCTTAGCCTGAGAAACTGCAAATATGGTGTACCTTTTGCTAACCAAACTGGTAATAGGGAAACAGCTCAGAAACACGCCACCCTCATGATTATGGTACTTATTTTTTTCTTCTGGAACTGGAATGGTTTCACTTACCAAACTGCCCTGGCCACTGCTGATACAGTCACTGTCTGTGTGCATGGAACAGTAACTGTCAGACACCAAGGGAGTGGTGTCATGTGTAGAAATCCTGATTTGGGGAAAACAGAGGTGTAGAAGATATAGAAGACATTTTGAACCTGACTGGAACTGCTTCCATCGATGCAAATGGTTACAATGTGTGCATGTGAGAGAGAGAGATGAATCATTTCTCTCGAACTATCTTTTTTAGTACTGCAAGTTGTCTAGCTGGAATCATTAGCACACTGTCTCTGTTGAATGATGGAGTGAATGAAATCAGCTCTTTGCTTATTTTTTGGATTGAACACGCTAAACAACACGGATCAAATGGCTCCTCTCCCCTTACATTTCTTCCACAATAAATTCCACCGAATTTATGAAACGCCTACCCGGTACTAAGCACTGTGCTGGGCACCAGCGATGCAGAGATGAAGTCAGGTTCAGGTTTAGTAGCCATCTCTTTAAGATTTGGGGCAGGGGACATATACCCTTGCTCCCCCTATCCACCGCAGCCCAGGCGGCTGTAAAACCTGCGGTGGTGTGAGTTCTCCACCGTCCTTGGCTTCCGGGAACTCGGGACACCCGAGCCTGCCCACCAGCAGAGTTCCAGGGTTCTCTGCCTTTCCCAAGAGGCGAACCCTCAAGTTCAACTCCGGAGCCGCGGCGCCAGCTCCTAGCGGAGTGACCCCGGGGTGCTGCAGCGCCCGGGGCCGGGTTCCTTCCACCTGTCCGCCCGCCCGTCGGGTTGCGCCAGACCCCGCGCCCGCTTACTTTGCCGCTGTCGCTCACGCCAAGGAGGTGATCCCGCAGCACCTCCATGGGACAGGTCCAGGTGGAGTGGACGAACGTCCCTCGGAAGATGTGCGCCAGGGGCGGCATCCGGGCGGCACACATGCCAGCAGCAGAGTGCAGCACGGGGTCCACGGGCCGAGGAGGGCGCACCAGGCGGAGGCGCGACTAGGGCTCCCTGCGGCTGCGGGCAGCTGCG